CAATATTTACTGGAATACAGGAAGGGGCATGCTGCCATTTGCAGGTGGAAACAGTAAAGCTCTTTAAAATACTTCAGTATGTTCTGAAATAGTGTATTTGTAGAGAAGCTGAAAAAAGGGACACTTCTCATTCAGTAAAAGAAAATACGGTGGGTGATGTAGAATACAGTGCACATCTTTATAAAGACTTTGATTCTTTTTGAATTTTAACTCCCAAGGAACATATACACGTAAAATATATTTTTATACACACATATTATTTATGACTATTCATATATTTTTCCTCTTTTTACCCAGGCACTCCAAAGACAGTTTCTCTTTGTGAAGAAATCAGGCAGTGCTGTGAAATTACATGGGATGTAGCCTTGCTTATTTTTTCCTATTGTTGTCAACACAACGTATGCAAACTCTTTTGGGCTGCCAACTCTCATCTCTTACATCAAGGAAACTGAATCATCTACCTTGGCCTACAAAAATTAACAGAGCTTGTATAAATATATTTTGATAATGTCCTTGAGATTCCTGAAGACACAAAGAAGCAAGAACAGTACGTCCATTTTTTCTTTTGCTGTTTGAAAAGCCATGCCATCAGTGACCATTTGTACTTAGCTGAAATTGCAGCACTGGATCCTATCAACACAATAAATAAATAAACATATGATTGTGAGTGCAGTTGAACTAACGAAGCCAGGTTTCCTATGGGGTTATAACTTGTAATTCTGTTTGCTCACATCTGATAAAATGTGAGCTCTGCTTTAGCTTTTCCTGTCCTTGCAAAATGCTTTTCTCCTGTGTGGATTCTCAGTTTTGCACCAAAGGATAAGCAATCTTCCCCATAGCAGTGACTCTAATTCAGAAATTTCTTCTTTAAAAGATCAACTAACTCAATGAAATTTGTTAGAGTTTCTCTGTTGAATTTGACTGAGACTGGCCAAAGATTCAAAAATACTGGGGAGGAGGGAGAGGTACAGTTACATTTGCATGCATGGAGACAAAGGCAGAGGCAGCCTCATCTCCCCAGGGAACTGTGCTAAGCAGTATATCTTTATTTCAAGAAAACAGAAAATATCAGTGTGCTATTACCCATCTCCTTTTAACTTCAACTGATTAATTTCTCACTAGGGGCACTGGACAACTGTTCAGGCCAAAAGCAGCAGAGAATACTGACAAGTCTGACAGTGAGTGCTTCCCTTTGAGGTAAGATATAACTTTATTTTTATAGCAAAAAATTCAGAAGAATTTAACCAAACTTGACAGAACAGTGATTTCTGACTGTTCTGACATCCAGACAGGATTTCTGGCAGGCTGGTTGCAAGTCTGGTCAAAGGTATTTAAGCTTTCACAATGTTTGGTGACACATTAACAATATTTGACTTTACGCCTACAAGACAACTGGTGAAGTAATAAGTATGAAGTGCTACTAGTTCATTAAAGGTTTCTGTATCTGTTACAAGCAATAGATTAATCTCTTGGGAGTGGGGGAGGGAGGGGCATTTCAGAAAGAACAGCATATCATGAAAGAAAATGGACAGAAGAATTACAGCTAAAGAAAAGTATGAAAATAGTAAAATACAAATGCCTTCCAAACAGAAGTGAAAGCACCAGTAGATTATGCTTCCCTTGTCTGGAAACAGAATGCATCCATTACTTACTATATAATGGCTCTCTGATCCATTGAACACAATCCCTCAACAATGTCCTAACTTTTCGAATATGACACAAAAATCTTGTCCAAGTTCAAAATTTCCCAAAAGACCAGTAAACTGCCTGTCCTGGTTTTACAAAAATAGTGCTGTAAGAAGGCTGGTGCCCTGTGCAGGCATGTCAGTGTTGCAGCACTGGTGTGCTAAGTTCATTCCTGTGTGTCTGCCTGGGGCCAGGGGTGGAGGGAGGCAGGATGATCACAAGGTCTTGCCACTCCAAAGTGCTGGCCTTGAAACTACCTGGAGTGGCCCTTCAATACTTCAAAGAGTCTACAAAAAATAGGGAAAGTGGCTTTTTACTTGGGCAAATAATGATAGAACAAGTAGGTTTAGATTAAAAGAAGAGAGATTTCAATTAGATGTTAGGAAACAATTCTTTACTTAGAAGGAAGCGAGGCACTGGAACAGGGTGCCCAGAGAAGCTGTGGATGCCCCATCCCTGGAAGTGTTCAAGGCCATGTTGGATGCAGCCTGTACAACCTGTTCTAGTGAAAGGTGTCCCTTCCCATCACAGGACAGCTGGAATTTGATGATCATGAACATGCCTTCCTACCCAAACCACTCTATGATTCTACAATTCTATGATCTTGACATATTCTGTCACAATTGGCTGAAATTAAGCTCCATGTTCAGCAGCTAGTGGGTGGAGAAAGTGTCATGGTATGGCTTGAAGGACAACACACAGACAACCTGGGGGCATAAACTTTGTGTTCTTAGGAAATAGGGCTGAAAATACACTAAAAATATTTGGGGCTAACCATTTTATAAGAGATGGTTGTCTGGACTTGTTTTTTATGACTTCAGGTACAACTTTTTTTTTCAACTAGGAAAAATTCATATGCAGAAGAATAGTACTTTACTAAAAACATTTATTTCAGTTTTTTAGAACATATGTCATATTTAGGCCAATTGAATTGTGTCAAATCTAGGTAAATTGATGTTTAGTTCTCCAGCTTGGAAAGCTGCTGTGTTCCAGTGAGTTTCTAAATATAAGCAATAACATCTTTGAACCAGACAGGTGACCTGATTTTCATAGTTGCTACATATCCAGGCAGCTGTAGATGGTAGTTCTCCTGGGCCTTTATTTTTGAAAACAGTTCTCCTTGTCTAAGGCCTGCAGCCTGAGACAGTCACTTTGGAAAATCTTCAAAAATACTCACTTAGCCTTTTGCATCCATAATATTTTGTTTCAGCTCTGTGCTATGTTTGCCCTCAAATTAATTATCTTTTTAAAATCCTTTCCTGTTATAATTGGCTCATGGAAAGATTTTGGCATAATATACTGAAAAAAGGGTAAACAAAAATTAAAGGTTTTCCAACAAATTTATATTACCATTCCTGAATACTTGAAACACTATCAGCATATGGAGATTTATGTTTTCTTGTTCCATCTTAAAACCACTACTTATAGTGAAATTTGTTAAAATAATTGAGTTTAGTGAGGTTTCTATAAAATTGAAGAGATTTCCATCCTTTAAAACACTGAGGGATTTTGTATCTTAAAACCATTACTTATAGTGAAATTTGTTAAAATAATTGAGTTTAGTGAGGTTTCTATAAAATTGAAGAGATTTCCATCCTTTGTTTAAAAATTTCAAATTACAAACATATGAACAGATTATACATTTTGTTATTATATTGTAACTGGGAAACCTGCATAATACTAAAACAGTATTCATTTCTTCGTTCTAACAAATTTCTACCTTTGTCTCAGATTGTAGCTTGGTCTCATAAGGGTAATTTCATCCTCAGGATCTTAATGAAGAATTATTTTAGAGCTGTATTTGGTTTAAACTAAATTCTTTGATGATAAATAGACATTAGACTGATTTACAATTGCTAATTTGTACTAAGACTGAAAAATCTTGAGTTCTTGGTACCTGTTTGAGGTACTTTTTTTGTTTTGAACAGCACTCTGCTCACTTTTTAAAGGCAATTAGTATGTTTTTTAAGAATTGTGTTCCTTTGTTTCTGATTGATATGGTCGAGGACAATTTCAGCTGCTGAAGAGCTTCTTCCATTGCACAGACACAGTGATTTCCATTATGGTTTCCTCAAGCCCCCACACAGAACAACACGAGTTTTATGCTTGTAAATTTTGACAGGATGTTGTGCACAGGCTCTCCACAAGCCTTCAGGAAGACAAATGGTCAGAGCAGGTTGTCTGTGGTGATCCTTCTTCCATCCCAAGCGAGAAACAAGAGCCAGATCATTTTGTCATAAAGGGCAAAGGAGAGTCTTGTGAGAGTCACCAGTAAAAGTGATCTCAGATGGGGCACAGGAGCAATACTTCCCACACTCTGATAAATCCAAGTTCTGCCCCTCTACTCTGCTCTGGTGAGATTCCACCTCCATTGCTGCATCCAGCTCTGGGGTCGCCAACACAGGACACATCTGTTGGGATGAGTCCAAATGAGGAAAACCAGGTTAATCAGAGGGATGGAGCCCCTCTCCTGTGAAAAATGCTGAGAGAACTGGGATTGTTCAGCCTGGAAAAGAGAAGACTTTGTTGTGACCTAATTGTGGCCTGGGACCCGAAAGGAACTTAGAGGAAAGATGGGGCAATAGCATTTACAAGAGCATGGAGTGACAGGACAAGGGGAAGTGGGTTCAGATTGAAAGACAATAGGTTTAGATTAGACACTAGTAAAAAATGCTTTACTGTGAGGGTGGTGAGGCACTGGGACAGATTGCCCAGGGAAGCTGTGGATACCCAACCCTGGAAGTGTTTATGGCCAAGTTGGAGGGGGCTTGGAGCAACCTGTTCTAGTGGGAAGTGTGTCTGCCTATGGCAGGGGGACTGGAACTAGATGGCCTTTAAGGTTCCCTTCCACCCCAAACCATTCTATGGTTCTGTGGTAAATTCCTCCAGACTTTGGGCAATCTATAATGGACTTCGGTGAAATCAGCTTAGGGTCCTTAGATGGCTCAGATTGCAATGAACCTTTTGTGCCGGGACTGCCCGTCTTCCTGGCAACTGGGCGGGGTTTCTCCGTGATTTTGCAGCTTCAGGTCTCCACCAATGCAGTGGAAACACAATTTCTCTGTAGCCTTGAAGTAGCAAAAGGTTAAATCGGTGAAATCGAGGGGCCACCAGACTGAGGACAGACACACGAACAGGTACATTTGCTCTAGAACGGCGTGTTTCGAGCCATGTCCGTGGCAGGTGCAGCCGGAGTCCCGCAGCAGCACGGCGCGCCGGGATTCCCAGCGCTGCGGGAATCCCTCCTCCCCCGGGCAGCGCGCGTCACCCGGGCGGCCCGGCCGGCGGTGCGGCCCAGGCCCGGCCCCCTCGATCCGGGTATCGCCGCCCCGGGGCGGCTCCGCCGCCGCCCCCTGTGCCGCGGCGGGAGAGCTGCGGGCTCCTGGGCCGGACTCGCTGCTGCTCCCGGCTCGGCTCGGCCCGGCCCGGCCGTACGTACGTACCGGGGGCGGCGCTGGGCTCGGGGCCGGCGCTGCCGGGGCGGCTGGGCCCGGGGCTGGGGCGGCTGCGGGGCGGGCAGGGGGCGAGCGCGGGGCTCCGGCAGCCCTCGGCGCGGTGGGGCTGGGGGACCGGCGTGACGCCCCTCCGGGCGGCGCTCCGGCCTGACAGCTGGGTTTCCGCCTCTCTGCGGTGGCGGAAAATCCGATTATATGAGTTTCTCGCATTAAAAGAAACAAATCCCAGGATGCCGGGACGGTTAAGAGTGAAGGCTGCGGTCCTGCCCACGTGCCAGAGCCCCTCACATCCCCAAACCCACTTTGGTCATGTTTTTGCCGACTCGTATTGCGGAATCTGCAAAAAGTGTAACTTTGTGTCAGCAGTTCTTCCTGCTTTATGTTTTCGTGATTTCAGAGCAGAGCAAGTCGCTTGTGTAGAGCAGGGGGAAACATCTTAAACTGTTATTGTTGTCTCACAATTCTAGGAACGTGCAGAAATGTCTCCCTTCGAAAATAAAGGACTAATACTGGGCATAATGGCAGGGACCGCTGGATTAAGCCTGGTGTTGGTTTGCTACCGCAAGATCCGAAAGCCTGGTGCAGCTGTGCGTATTCGTGCGTTCCGGGATATAGGTAACAGAGTTAATTCAGTGGGCTTGCCAAATGAGGTTCCTAATGAGCAAGCAGCAGTAATGGTTTTACATGGAAGGCAACTGCAAATACTAGAAAAATTGAATGGCCTGCTACTAAGCGTGGACGAACTGAAGAGAGAGGTGGAATTTCTGAAAGAAGCAATTCCAAAACTTGAAGAGCTTGTTCGAAATGAGCTTCAAGGAAAGGGTGACGTTCAGAGAGTTAGCCCATCACACAGAGCAGCAAGGCGGAGAAAAGCAGAGACAACTTCTAGTGCAAGAGAAACTACCAGCTCTGAAGAGGCAGAAAGTGAAGGAGGGTGAGTTAATTTGTATCCTCTACTGTACACATGCAGTGCAAGTTGCATCGTTACCTATATGAAACTGTAAACAGGAGCCCTTTAAAAGTTGGTAAGGAGCCCTTTAAATTTTATACTTCTGGAAATATAATTACAAACATTCAGATGAACAGTTTTTAGATCAGAGAAGACTCTTAGTGATCATCTGAAATCTGCACTATGGCTGAAGTTGGCTTAATGCCAAGCATAATACAGATTCGTTTTAAGAGTGTGTTTGGTAACACTGATGCAGTATTGCTACATAGCTGTGCAATGAGAGGCAAAGTTCAGAATAATGGTGTAATTTTAAAAGTTCTTCTAGTGCAAAGGCTCTTCGACAGAGTTTGTTCAGACTGTATGTATGCTCACGTGCTTTTCCTGATAATTGTTTTTTATCAGCCTCACAGATTAGTTATTACTGAGTTCTGCCTAGAGGCATTGCATACTGTGGAAGCTACATCTGAGCAGCACCTCTGTACAAGTGGCAATGTTTATGTGTATGAGCTATTGTATACACTTTTTGGTGGCTCAAAAAGTGACCATGAGGAATTTAGGATGCTGACTCAGGTAGAAAGTTCCTGGTTTTGATCACATCTTGTAGTCACGTTATAGTTAATGGGGTCTTTTATTCTCATGAGTTGAGGAACATGCTGGGGAATGATGTGTTCCAGGAGAGGCACTATATTTTTGTCTTGACATTAATCTCCTGTAATTACAACTTTGTTTTGGTATAATCAGATTAGATACTTACATGCAATTTACTAATACTATGTTTATAGCAACTGAGTTTTTTGAGCTACTTCTCAGCATGTCTTACACGCCCGTGTAGGCAGCATTATGTCTGTTAATTGCCCATCTTATGTCACCTTTTCTCTTTAAAGTATTTTAACTAACTGTAATATTCTGGAGACAGCTAACATGCTGCATATTAATGGAATTCTATATTTAACATTTTCTCCACATCCATTTTCAGTTACTGTGAGCAGACTTTCTTTCTATGTTACATCCCAGCCCACAGAGTTCACAAGTCTTATATTTTGATACCATATTTTAAGACTTGTCAGTTCTATTATGAACCAGTTCTTTATTTTGAGTATTCAGGGTTGGCATAAGTATTCAATGACAGTCCTCCTTCGTCTGGTGTGGAAACATCTTGGTTCTCTTAGTTTCTTAGATAATTTCATCCATTGGTTTGTTTGCATAGGCCTTCATGTTATGAATAAAATATTCAGAGCTGCAGATGAGGCAAAGGGACCAGTTTACAAATTACTAGGTCCACAGATGCAATGCAGGGGTTATTCCACAGGTAGCATTTGAGAAAATCCTGTTTCCTGATCAGGAGTGATGTGTTGCTGTTTGAAAACAAGCCAAGGAAACTTGTGTGCTCAAGTTCTTCCGTGTGACGAAGAAGCTGATGCGGTGCTCCAATACAAGTGATTAGAGTGTGCAAGAGCATTGAGTGTGTCCTTAAGAGAGGCCTTCTCTGACAAGTATTTGTGTACAGTCAGAAACAAGGAAGATAATTCAAGGTTATAGTTAGCATTAATCATTTGGCTATGTTCTTTCCCAATGCTGTTTTTCAATCCCTTATGGAAAGAGGTGGGCTTTTTTCCTATTAACACATTGGACTTGATATGTTTGTTTTTCTTATCTTCTCTAAATTTGAGATAATTTGATTTTCTTTAAGTAAATAGTATTTTTTTTGCTTCCTTTTGCAAATAGATTGTAAATCCTAATGTGTAGAGTTGCAATATATAGCTTTTTCTGAGGTTTTCTGTAACTTTAATGACTGGTGCATGGCCTGGAGGGTCAATAGCAACACATGGGTTTTTTCCAGTTACTCTACATCACTGCTTCATATGCTGTAGGCATTGCACCATGTGCACTGTTTTATACTCTTCTGTGGCTAATTCCACACACAATAGTGCATTCAGGTGCTTGTTTTGCACTACAGGAAAAAAAAATTGCTCTTTGTTAGTGATAAAACATTTTTTCACCTTTCTATACTCCCATCTAAAGTGCATTGTGTTTTACTGCCTCAGCAGTAATTTCATGATCTGGAAGATAGGATTTTGCTTGAGTTAAGCACTTCTGTTTTTAATTGACAAATGGGTAGACACTGGGAATTGACAGATAAACTAATCTGAAGAGTTGTATGGATTTGTGCTGGATGACTACATTGGTTTCAGGTTTGTAAACTTCTTCCAGAAAAGCTTTTAGTACTACCCTAGTTTTTTTCATTAAATATGGCGAGCTGACAGTCTCTGATAAGACTCTCACTGCTTTGATCTGCTCTGGGCATATTCTCAATGTCACTGTTGGTATTCAACACCTTGGGAAGAGAAGTTTTCTGTTTTGCCTTTCAAAAATTATGTATTTCTGTAAGAGGAGAAATGTCACATGTGTTTTAATAAATGAGCTATATTTTTACATAATGACAGTCAGAATGGAAGGTGCCCTGAATGGATGAGACATTAAATGATAAAGAGTCTGTGGTTTCTAATCTATGCTTCTCTGTATTCTACTGTTTTTTAAGTTTGTTTCAGTTCCAATAATGTCCTAGTGAAAACTTCGATGTTTAACGTTTGAGAATGTGTAACAAGCTCTCAGTTATTTACAAATACAATAAATTGTGCCTAGATGATCACCTGGAATGGAACGTGTCACCGAATTCTCCTCTTTGTGATTTTCAAGCTGTTTCCTCCCTGATATGGCAGTGATGAACTCTGAACATCAGTGTCATTTTGGAACCCGTCTTCAGCTGGCCCAGCATCCAAGCTCTTCAAATTGCATTTGGCATCAGACACCAGAAAGATTCACTGCAGTAAATTCTTTTCTGACAGATGCTCTATTTATAATTTTTCCTTGAAATAGTTTAGTCAACAGGAAAAGAAATTTCCCTTGCCTGCTTCTGAGTATCATTTCACTTAGCATTTTCTAATTTATTTTGCTGTTCATTTATTTGAAATGCAACCTTCAGTTGGCTTAAGAATCCAGTTTGCCAAACCTTTCCTTGAAAGCCACTTATCATTACTGATGGATGTGCACTTTGCTGAATCATACAGTGCAAATTTGATCCAGATCCATCTGTGACATAAAATCACCTTTCTGTGGAATTAGCCAGAGCAGATGAGAGGGTGTTTGTATCAGCTTGTGTTTTTCTTAGAAGTTGGCAGGGAGATGAGAGATGATATTTGATCTGTCTAAAAGCTGAAGTGTTGTGAACAAATGATACCTGGTTAGGCACAGTGTCTGCTAATTTACAGACACCCCAACACAGTTTTTGAACAACCCAACTGTGTTTATACCACAGGGGTGTTTTATACCATGTAGCTTGTTTTAATCTGGTACTAGGTGCTGGGATTTATTGCTTAGCCACGGTGGGGTGAGTCTCCAGCACAGTTTCCATTTGTTCTTTGAACTTTGAACAGTCCATTGTGATACAACTGAGTCCTGTTGGTTGATCGTTGCTCCTCACATTCTTATCACTGTTTTTCTCTTTTATTTAAAATCTATTGGTAATAAAGGTGAAAACAAGTTGGCACTGACTCTGGACATTTTTTCCATTTTTTTCAAATATTTATCAATGTGTTTATCACTTGTAAATCCCTTTTCTTTTTATCATCTGATAAAACCTCTTGCAGGAAAATACCACCTAAAATTGCAGCTTTCTGTTATATGGAATATTTGTAAAACAAACAATAATGACTATTCCTTGTTTTCTGTTTATTTCCTTTTTGGAGTAATGTTATCAGTCCTTAAAGTCCTGGAGTTTTTAAACTGTGTTAAGAAGAATCTCCACTTCTGTTTGTTATTTCAGTGCTTTAGAATGCATAGGTGTATAAGACTGTTAGCTGCTTTGTTGAAGGCAGATATTGCCCAACAAGTAAATTGAAATTTATGACATTCTATTCGATGTTTAAGAGGGTCTGTTCCACATTTAAATACTTTCAGGGTTCATAAAGCAGGTAAATAGATGAGGTAAGAGAGAATTTGCAAGTACAGTGGAGATGAGAGGGAATAGGTAAGGCATGAGCCTGCTGTCTCTGCTGTTTTATAATTAACTCCTTATGGGTTCACATGGTCTTTTAGATAGTGACCTACTTCACACTTTTTCTATGAGTCTCCCAATAAATATATGATTTACCTGATGTCATGTGAATTTGATGTTTGGCCTCAATTTGATGTTTTGTCATGACATTTGATGTAGTGCTGCTGGAAATCTCTGCTGGGCATGTTTGGACTGACAGACAGCCCGATGGGCTTGGGCGTCAGCCCAACCTTGTATTTGTCATCTGGCTATTATATTTTTGCTGGGAGAATAGCATTTTCTAATAATCATTTTTATCTGTTATCTAACACAGGAACAGTAGTGATCATAGAAATTTTAGCAGATGTTTATGCAGCAGAGGTAAAGAATACAACACCAACACTGACTTCCAAACACTGGTCCCTCGCTTTCATATCTACCTGATTAGGTAGCATTAGATGCAGTGCCCAAATTCCTGTAACTAAGGATATTGTCTTTACTGCTTAGTTGCTGCTCTTTCACATTATCTAGTGACCTTATTTTAGGTTGGGAATTGCCCAGATCCTCAGTGCATTTATCTTTTAATTAGGGGGAATGGAGCATCTAAATCATGTGAGGAAAGATACTTTCCAAGCATACTTCACATCACAGAGTTTTGTATTGGAGCTAAAAGATTGTCCCATTCCCCGGGAACTCCCTTATACATTTGATTAAGTTGGGGCTCTTAAAAATGCAGCCACGATATATATCTGTGCCCACTTCAAAGTAACTATGAAAGAACGATATGCTGTGTTTTAAGCATGCTTCAGAAAATGAAAATAGATGTTCAATGACTGAATATATATATTCACAAAGATATATATATAATATATAGTCTCTGCAAGACACAGCATAGGATGTCATCAAGTTCAGCATCATCAAGATTATGTAAAACAAATCTGTAGAAACATATGAAGTTTTCCGTCTCTGTTCTGCTCAATGAAGTTTTTCAGTTTGAACATGTACACATGGTCTGTGTATGTATTGTTTTATGCAAATGTATTTTTGACTCCTCTTTCTGGTGTCACTGTGTTAATTTTGCAGCAAAACTGTCATGCCACATCTGGCACTTCTGTAGCTTCATAAGCATTTGTACTTGTTCATTTACAGGCTGGAAGTCTATCTGCTCTGATACACTCATCTGTTCTGAAAGCAACATATTGAAAACAGAATATTTGAAAGCCATGATTAATAACCTTCATTTTGACTGCTAACATTCTGTCCTAGTTATATTTCTGAAAAAAGAAATAGATTTTTTTTATATTCCAACTGTCATGGTCTATTTCGATTATTCAGTTACTTAATGTGTGTAGTACATTCCATGCTATTTGTACTCAGAGTAACCATTTAGAAGATCTTTGAACCTGGCAGCTGATAGGTTTACATTATTACTTCTCCCCAGAACAGTATTTTCAAAAGTGGAAATGCAGAAGATGAGGCTTCTCTGTCCATTTTTAGTACATAAGTAAAAGGCTGCTTTTTAAAAACAGTGCCATCAGCTGCTCCTCTTTGAAATCAGAGTACCATAATGTATTCTCAGCACTTTGGACAGTAAGGCCACCTGCTTATCTCTGTGTGATATTTATGCTTTTATAAATATTTCTTTGCCCTTGACTGCCTTGTGCTGAGTACTTGTGCACTAAGCATCATGAATCAATATAAGCTCTTTTCTGAAGTTCAGATACTCTGAACTTCAGAATGCTCAGAAGAAATAAGGAATTTATAACAATGGTGTTATTTTTATTGGCTTGTATTTAGATCTTAAAAGTGCTAAGAAAATACTGTATAAATTATTGTTATAGCACTTATATTTTGATTAGTAAGCTCATTCCTTTTTCAAAAAATAGGGAAATTGAGGTAAAGAGTTGAAGAGGCCTATTCAGGGTTACTGAGCATGTCTTAAAACACATTAATGATTTCAAGTGTTCTGCATTTGAAACACAAGGCTACATGTGTTTCTAATATGTATCTGCATTTTTTTAATGGAGTATTAGGCAGCAGTATAATTACTTACCTGTTATGTTTGGAATATGACTGTGCTATCCCTTTGAAGATAAAGGTTTTGTAATAATAACAATAAGCTTGATATTAATAAAAAATCCTTTAAAGTTGGACAACTGGGATAAGCTGTACTCTGAAATTTTTGCTTTTTAATTTAACAATGCCCTTTTTTTTTTAAGAAAAAAATGGTTATTATTTTCTGTGATTCTAGTTACCTTACCGCTCATACTGATTCTGAAGGAGACTCTGAGGAAGAAAAGAGATGTATGAAATCACCTGATGACTTGCTGAAATCAGAAGAAGATGAAGACTTACTTAATTTTTTACAGCAGGTGGACAACTTGCACAAGGGTTCAGAGGATGATAAAAAGGAGGGCTTCAGACTGCTGACTGAGAAAGATGACAAGGTATTGTGAGTAAACTTAATATTGTGTTGCTATTAACTTATACTTTACACTGCTTTTGAGAACTAAATACAAGCTTTAAAATGCACTTAGAAATGGACTACGAAATTTCAAGCATATTTTTAAAATACAGTCAAAAAGCAGTATTTCAAAGTGGTGTTAATATTCATGTTGTGTGGACATAGGAGTTCTACTATTTTATACCCCATTCCAATTCAATAACTTTGAGGCTTTGTTTGACATAGGAATTCTTCCATAAAATGAAGAAAAATCATGGGCTTTTTTCAATGTAAATTACACTTACTTCTGCTGGTTTTGGAATAGTCTGTGTGAGAAAAATCCTGTAGAATTAAGTAGTAACCAGACCTACTGTTCTCAAACTGTGAGCATCTAGTCTGCTCATACCTTTCTAATACCATCCATGTGAATTTTTCCCTTGGCTTTACTGGGCCCATATATAACTCCAGATAAAATTTAAAGGTGGTTTCATGTGCAGTGCTGAATTCATTTTACCATTTTATTCTGGTTTGGCAAGCATTAGTTCTGACTGTATTTTCTTCTGAATATTGGAATACCAAGGAAGGTAAATGAGATATTGTGAGTGAGTGTGGTGCTTATGGCTTCCCTGAAGAAAATACACATACTTTGTTCAGGAATTTGTTGTGCTTTGCTGGATTACCTTGTAAATGTTTATATTAAAAGAAGTTTAAACTGATTTATAAAATAACTTTTTAGACAGTCTCAGGTGTTTCCAAAACTGTATTCTCTTTTGTCCATGGAAGATTGGTCAATTGGTTCTCACATGAACTAAAAGTAGCATGTAGAAGGATGGAAAATTAACAAAAAATTATGCCATCTTCTAAATACTTGCTTTAAGCATGTTATTAATTTTAAACATTGTGAACGTAAACTGTTTAAATCACATTCTGATCAGTTTAATTATGTAGCTATCCTCTACTTCCAGTACAAAGACTGTGTGGACTTTCTTTGGAGGCTTGCACGTGCTTATGGAGATCTGTTTGAGATGACTACTGATGCTGAGGAGAAGAGGAAATATGTAACTGATGGTAAGAGGAAAAAATGTTTATGAAGAGTGCCATATGAATGTAGTGAAACATGCTTTGAACTTTGGTTAAGTTTTCCAATATAAGGAATTTGCAATCCAAATTTGCATTTGTACTGTAATGATAATGCTTTGTGCAGTAAACCACCACAGTTTGCAACTTCAGTTCATTCTTTCCTCAATGAGATCCAAAACCAGTGGCAGAGAAGTATAATGGGTCATAATTAGAGGCTGTTGTCTCTGCAGATTGCCTTAAAATCCTGTATTTTGTTGAGAAACAGATGGATACAGAATGTGAAAACTCTCAGATGTTGTTAGCACAGTTTCTTAATTACATCTTTGGGAGAGCAAGAGGAATAAATAAATGCTGAGGCTGGGTCAGGGGTTTTTTTTCTGCTTTCCTGTGGTCAAGGAGCACTCCTGCATATCAGCAGTCTCTTTTGTGGTGATGGTGGGGATGAAACTGTGAATCTGGAGGAACTGTTGACCAGAAACAGAAGTGGTGTGTTGACAATTGATGTTGCTTCCAGACATCTCTCCCCATGTGTCCTGTTTAACAATTTAATCTCTACAAGATTTTAATTTTCTTCATCATAGCACCTTTTTTTTGGTTGCTTTTAAAATCATTGCCCTTTCTTTCACTGTCTGGATGGATATTGGCTAGAGGAACAGTTTGTTTCCCCTTTTATTTTGGGTCTTCTTTTTATTACATTAAAACCTACATCTGTATACTGTGCCACTCTCGTCCAGTCAAGGCACTGTTTTTAAAATAATCTTTTTTGCCTTTATCTCAGAGTATTTCTCTCTTTCTTTTGTCTCTCCATTGCCCCTTCCTTGCTGCACCAAATCAGGTTTTGTAAGTGTAACCCAAGTTTGGGTTATTTTGTCTTCTGTGACACCTCTCATTGACTTTTTGTTGTGTTGGCAATGACAGTGTCACTGACAAAGCAGTTTCAGCTGTCCTTTGTCATCCTTTAAGGCAGTGTGATGCCTTCACGCTGTTGTAACATATTCCACTGTCAACCTCAGTTTGTTCAAGGTCCTTCCTTTTTCCAAGCCTTTTGTCATCTAAATACTCCTGAAGACTTGCACTGTCTTAGCAACTTAATTGATACTGTCTTTGCTTTAGTAGAGACTTGGCTTTGTACATAAATCCTACAGTGCAGTGAGGAATATGACACAAAGTAAATGAAAACAGTAAATTCTGTTGCAGGATCCTTTGCTTTTACCAGTGACTGGACTTGAAGCTGGCCAGGACTGTGGGGGACAATAAAGAGTTTTTTTCAAATGTATTAATGGCAATAGGTGGTGTAAAAATATCATTAGCTCATTACAGGATGAGGGTGGTCACTTCACAAAGGGAGATATGGACAAGGCACAGATGTTTAATGTATTCTTTGCCTCTGTCTTTAACACGGATGATGGAGTAACGGGTTATCAGTGCCCTGAGCTGGAGTACCATGGCTGCAAGAATTATCAATTCCCAGTCAACCTGGAAATCATGTAGGATCTGCTGCTTCATCTGGATTCCTAAAAATCCATGGGGACTGATGGGATTCATCCAACAATCCTCAAAGAACTAGTTGGTGTAATCTCAAAACCTCTTCTGGTGATTTTGGGGCAGTCTTGGGAATCTGGAGAGGTCCAGCTGACTGGAAGCTGGCTGACATTGTCCTGATTTTCAAAGAGGGTAGGAAGGAAGACCCTGGCAACTACAGGTCTGTCAGTCTTACTTCAATGCCTGGTAAAGTTATGGAGAATATTATTCTGGGAGGTATAGAAAAACATCTGGAGGACAATCCATCTGGTCACAGCCAGCACAGCTTCATGAGAGGAAGGTCCTGCTAATGAAACATGATTTCCTTTTATAACAAAGTGCCCCACCTAGCTGATCAAGGGAAACCAGTTGGTACAATATTTTTGAATATCAGTAAAGCTTTGGATACTGTCTCTCACAGGATCTTTCTGGACAAAATGTCCCACACACAGCTGGTTAAACACATCATGGGATAATGTGGCTCACAAGTCAGGCACAAAGGGTTACAGTGAATGGGGTGACATCAGGCTGGGGACCTGTCACTAGAAGGGTTCCACTGGGCTCCATTCTTGGCCCTGTGCTCTTCAACATCTTCATAAAGGACTTGGACACAGGAAAGGAAGATATACAGAGCAAGTTCACAGAGGATACAGAACTGGGAGGAGCTGTTGAGTCCCTTGAGGGCAGAGAGAACCTGCAGAGAGACCTCAACAAGTCACAGAACTGGGCAACCACCAGCTGTATGAAGTTCAACAAGGGAAAGTGTCAGATTCTCTACCTGGGATAGGACAACCCTGGATGTGTGGACAGGCTGGGCAATGAGATGCTGGAGAGTAGCACCATGAATCCTGGTCCCTGGCAAGTCGAACCTGAGTCTGCAGTGCCCTGGCAGCCAGGAGGGCCAACCCTGTCCTGGGGGGCATCAGGCACAGCATCAACAGCCAGGGAAGGGCGGGAATTGTCCTGCTCTGCTCTGGGCTGGGGTGCAGTTTTGGGTGACACAATGTAAAAAAGACATTGAACTATTGGGGGGCATTCAAAGGAGCATGAGGATGGTGAAAGGCCTTGTTGGGAAGCCACATGAGGAGCAACTGAGGTCACTTGGTCTGTTCAGCTTGAAGAAGAGAAGACTGAGGGGACCTCATTGCAGCTACAACTTCCTTGTGAGGGGAAGAGGAGGGGCAGACTGATCTTGGTGGTGCCAGTGACAGGACCCAAGGGAATGGATTGAAGTCGTGTTAGGGGCGGTTTAAATTGGAATTAGGAAAATTAGGAAAAGGTTATTCACCGGAGTGTGACTGAGCAATGGAAGAGACTCCCCAGGAAAGTGGTCACAGCACCAGCCTGACAGAGTTCAAGAAGAATTTGGACAATGTTGTCAGGCACATAGTGTGACTCTTTGGGGTGGTCCTGTGCAAGCTAGGAATTGGATTCAATGATCTTTGTCAGTCCTTTCCAACTCAGCAGATTCTGTGATTCTGTAACTGCATGTAACCACAGCTGATGAATGATAGCAAAAACCAGGGAGAGATAAAGAATGATGGAATGAAAGTGAGTCTTAGGTGTTGAGTAACCAGCCTAGTTTGGCTCATTCTCATGAAGTGGGGGTGGCGGCAACCTTTTTCATCTCAGTTTTTGGAAGTGCTGCAGAGGGCTTGAGACTGCAGGAGAGCTGGCAGTAGTTTCATGGTTATTTTTCATTCCACTGGGTAGGAGGACTGTGTATGCTATTCTTTGTTTTTATGAAGTTAACTTACAATACAGAAATGTCAGTGCAGTTTAATTGGTTGCAGCTGAGACTCTGCAAACAGCAAGCATCTCAACTGAACTTCTTACTGGGGGCGTGGGTTTGATCAAATCACCTACTGTCATCTTTATTCAGTTAAAAGTGGAACTTAAGGGAAGTGGAACTTCAACTGGTTTATTCCTGTATCCAGGGCATTGAAACGGCTTTGCTGGTTCTTCTGACAGATGCTTGTCTGACCTGCTTTTAAGGCTCTTCAGTCTTACAGACATGACCGCCTCCTTTGACAGTCTTGTCCAATCCTTCCCTGATTTAACTGCATCTGAACTGGATTTTAAAGGAAAATACTAAAACTGCATGTATAGTTGATATATACTTATATGTATGTGTATGACTATGTAAATGAAGTAAAGCCAGGATGTTGTGTTGTTCATCTAATGTTTCTAAGAACAGGAAGCAATTTCTTTGCTGCTGGAGTAAATCAGATTGCTTTGTTCTTGGGCATCACCTAAAACATGGAAGAGTACTATAAATCAAATCCTATATTGTGTTCCATTTACAGGAAAGATTAAAGCTGAACAGGCTATTCAGCTGGATGCTGGGAGTGCTGAGAGTCACCAGTGGTAAGTTTAAGAAAGTTTTTACAAAGTTGTGTACATTTATTAAATTCAAGGAAAAAAACTCCAGTCTGACATCAGTTTCATAAATTAGTCATTACTATTTTTTCATAGTTTTATGAAATTCAACTGTCATCAGTTGTTGCTAAGAATTACATTGAAATATTCTGTGAAGCATTTACTATAGCATGTGAAACAACTCAATAACCATACTTCAATAAGTACCAAGAAATGTACATAAGAGTATTTGCTTAAGCCACTATTTTGTTTCTCAGAGAAGCCGTAATTTTCCATTTACCTTCCCATTCAATAATTCACAAAATAATGTCATTTGACCTTGAATTTTGTCCTTTCCTTTTCTTGTAATAGTCTAAATTGTGATAATTAAAAACAGACATAGAGGACTATGGAAATTTGAATTAACTTCTCAATTTTTGTTTTATCATACAGTTTTTCTCCAAGCTTGACTCTTAGTTCAGTTTTGTAGACCTTGCCAGAACTAACAAACTCTGCAAATGTAAATATTTTTTTATCAAATCAACACTATCAGGTAAAAGATAATTCTGCTGAGTTCTATCTGATAGTTCCTCACCTTAGTATTTTATTAGTAAATTTTACTGCACTCCTGATTTCTTTTCTAATATTATTAGCTTTTCCTTTCCATTTTGGTTTCTGCATTCTTCATTAATTTTCTTTGCACTTGTGGGATGGGATTTCACCAAACTTCTGCACATCTAAAACAAATACTTTTACCCCAGGCTCCTTTCACAATCTAAAGAAAGCAGTCACTTCTGGAATGCAGTTCACTGGAGTCAGTTTTGCTCATTTAGTCTTGCATGAGGGTGAGATGAATTTCTCCTGGGGCTCAGTTGACAGCATCTCCATTGCCAACAAAGGGAGCACATGTCAGCTATCTCAGGTTTAGATACTTGATTAGACACAGACATTGTCATTTAAGTAGTTAATTCTCTGTCTTGCTTTCTCTCTTTCTGAAAGCAATTTAAAGCCATTTCTGCTCTTTGCTTCACCACAGTCATGACCACTTCCTCAGGGTAATGCTGGTGTACCCTTCTCAGCTAGAACTTTGTGTATAAACAACCACAAAATCACATTCAAGTACGAATCCTGCCTCTCCCTTCCTCCTCAGCCCACAAGACTGACAAAATATTCTAGTATAAATACAGCTTCACTGGCAGAAACTATGCTGATAAACCCTTACATATTGTGCAGGGAGATGTAGGTGGTCTGCTGGACTTCACATGTGAGATCCTGTCCTGGCAGGAACATCTAGCAGGGGAAGAATTATGAGTGTAAGGAGATGTGTTCCAGAGGTTAGCTCAGAAAGCTGATTTGAGAGGTTTAAGAGGAAAATCTTACATTCTTTAAGCTACTGCTTCTTGTAACAGGCAATGGATTTCTATATGGTTTGCAGTTTTCATCCTTCATCTATCTGGGTTGCAAGTGAACATGAGGTTTTTATAATTATTGTTCAACTGATGTCTTTCTAGAGGTATAGATAGACATTATATATTAAAATAGTTCACTGTCATTTTTATCTGAATATATTATCTGCTTGTCTTTATTTTCTGACATCTTTCTGACTTACTGCATGATTTTTAAAGTGTGATGTAAGTGTAATGGTTGTGCCAATGAAACTGAGGCTCTAAATACTGGGCAGAATGGACTTCCATGCTCCAGAGGAACATTGGTATCTTTTTGTTTTGCATAACAATAGTTGGTCATTCTGTGGTCCTAGTAGGTATTTTTGTACTGTGCTGCTACTTAACCAGTTGGACTTGTTTTGTAACTTATTTTTGAAAATTGTTTTATTCTATTTTATTCTTTATAAAGTATTTTACACACATTTAATTGATTTCGTGTTTATTTCTTACCATTTCTGAGTTTTGAAGCCATTTAAGTTTGTAAATGCACCCCCTCATGGATTAACATTTTATTTTAAAAGTGGCTTTTGTTGTATAGGCTTTTTAAAATCATTAACTTAATTAATGAAATTACCGGAAGATAATGGATCCAGCACTAAACTTTGAGTGACACCTGTAGTCATGCTCAGGTTCACATGAACCTGGTTCTGCAACCATCTCTACAGGTGATTTAATCTAAATATTTCCACGGTTATGTTTTGAGGAACATCAGGTAGGACAAAGTCAAAGGCCACATAAACAAGGTGTATCTTATTTGTTGTATTCCTCTTACCCAGGCTTTTTTATTTTGCCAGAATTCTTCTTTTATCATGTTTTTTCACAAAAATCTGGTGTTAACTGTTTTGTATTTTATCAGAGTAATTTATCCTGTATTGTTTTCAGGTTAGGCTGGTTTGCTTATGCACTTCCAGAGTAATTTATCCTGTATTGTTTTCAGGTTAGGCTGGTTTGCCTGTAACACTTCTCCCTGATAGCAGCTATGTTTGCCTTTTTGCTTGCTGTTGAGGCTTTCTGCATTACTTACAAGACTTCTGTAGTCAGCTCTGTGTCAGATCTATATTGTTCAAATCTGGTCTAATGCAAATTTTTCCAGTTTATCTAAACATTATTTCACATGTTAATCCCCGTGAACAAGAAATAAGACTTCAGGGAGTCTTCCCTCTAAAAAATGTGCTCTCAAAGTTGTACACAAACAGAATTTTACCTGAGGTTATAAATAGGAAAGACTGTGTATAACCAGGTAATGATGCAATACAATTAAGTTATGAATAAATTGTATGTGAAAGTAATACAAAATCCATAGTTAATAAGAATATTTATAAGAGAGAAAACAACATTAAAAAAAAAAAACAGAACAAATATTTATACAAAAAGATGCTAGGATCACTAGTGGGTGGTCAGGATCAGAGCTGAAGGGCAGTACCCAGCTCCAGATGGACAGCTGGATGTTCTGTCTCTGTCATATGTGCCTGCATGTGGGCAAGGGCCTGCTCCTGCACTTATGGGGGATGGAGAGTTGAAAGGCAGCATGTGCCATTTTATGTGCCAGGGTGTTTGTATGGCATGACAGATATCACGCAGGACCTTTGGGATCTCTACACTTCCAGGCTATCATACAGAAATGGTGAGAAACCCTAGGACATCTCCAGTGGCAGCAGGCACCTGTGTCCAGGCAGGGATCCTGTGAATTGAACAGGGTCTCTGCTGGCTGTAGTAGGAGATTAGATACACAAATGAGAAGGTCAGCGTGAGTGCAAGGTCAGTGTGAAAGCAATGCTGTCTCAGACCAAAATCCTTCCTTTTCATCTCACTGCCAGCATAACGTTTTCTAAAGCTGGATGAGGTAAATAATCCTAGCCTATGTAAGATGAGCCCATCTGTTTGTTGCATGTAAGGCAATGTCAGTCTTTATCACCTATTGATGACCAAGCTGGTTTTCTGACCTTGACTGAAGAAAGTTTTAGAAAGGTTTTGTCGATTTCTTACTAATTTCTGAAGGGGTTTGATATTTCAAATCAGCACAACTGAGGTTTTCACTCATGTTTGGTGTAGCTGCTATCTATGTTGTCCACTCATACATTATTTCTAGTGTTCTCTTAAACTGTTTAATATATTATGGCTTACTAAGTGAGTGAGGATTAAATGATAGCCTATTCTTTTCCTGGTCCTGTACCTTGCTCTCTACTTACAGTTAACCCTTGTGGAGCAGGGGGGATATAAGTGAGGAATAAATTGAATTCAGCAACATTGGTTTCATCTTTTGCCGTTATTTCCTCATTGTTCTGCGCTTTCATTTCTGTTTTTTTTTTTTTTTTTTCCTTCTGGTGTATTTATAGAAACCTCTTCTTATTGTCTTACCAATATCCCTAGCTTAGAGGTATACTCTTATTTTCATTTTTAGAGTAAATTTCTTTTGGGTTTTAAGGTAGTTGAGAATTCCTCACTGGAGCTGAATTGATCTAAAAATATTCCCTGCTATGACTAAAGGGTCATTTGCAGTTGTGCTGTTGAATATTGTCTCTTACTAAATCTTCTGTAGAACTTTTTTCTAATATTTAGAAATATTAGAAAAAGGCATTTCTTAAAGATTTCTTTTTTTTAATTAAAAATGTGCACTGTGCCTGTCATGCAGTGGTTAGGTCTATGGACCTGTTTGGAAGTTTCTTTTGGAAGCTTATCCCTGCTGCTTGAAAGCTCTATTTACCAAATAAACAAGTTCTTGTGACACCTGGACACACATAGTTGTCCTAGTGTAGACAGAATTATACTAGCAAAAACATCCCTTTTCCAGAGCAGGTATTTTTCTTGTTGTGGAACTGCTGTAAGGTATCTGCAAGACAGAACACATTTTTTGTGTCCCCCAATGGAATTTAGTGGAATGGTTCCATGAGCAAACTTGCTAATATAGGCTTAGAGTTCAGCTGTATTGTCTTACTTTTGATATTTACTTCAGTTAAGAACAAAAAGATGCCATATATCCTCTTACTGATATCACCTATTTTTTCTGTAAAATTGTATGATAACATGATCAACACTCCAACTGTTCAGCTTACTGATTAGAATACTAACAGTATTCAGCCTCAAATTAAATTTGAGGAAACATATGCAGAATAAAGAAAGCAAAAGATCTTGAAGTAGTTAGTTGGTTTTGGTAACGAGTTGCAGCTGCAATTAATTTTCATATCTGAGTCTAGATTTTTGAAAACATGTGATAATACTTAATCTCATAGTTGCCAATGAGATCAAAAACCTTCAGACTTTTTGAATGTTGACCTCTAAATAACTGAAGTAAATGACAACACTGGAAAGGAAAAGCATAGCTTTATTATTTGTATGAACACCCTAAAGACAGAGTAAATATTCTAAGTGATTTGTGGCTTTGTTCAGGCAGTGTCAATTTTTCAAGTTATGGAGGAACTCACATGCAAAAGTTATCATCAGCTGTCGTTGCAGGTCCTCTTTTTTCCAAGCCTCAAACAAATTCATTTTGTTGGCCAGTGATTCCCAAAGGACGGCTGTGAATCCTTGCAGCTCATCTTGGATCATGGAGCATTTTTATCACCC